TAATAATAATAATAATAATAACAACAACAACAACAACAACAACAACAACAACAACAACAACAACAATAATAATAATAATAAATAATAACAATGATAATAATAATAATAATAATAATAAATAGTGAAGCGCACCAGGATAGCCAGTGCCATTATGCGCTTTGTGCAGTTCCGTCCAGCGGACGTTTGCTTACTGAAATATAACTGTTTTACACTTTCGTATATAAGAGAAGAATAGATAAGCTGTCTGGCTCCTAAAGTGAGAAGTTTCCCGCTGAAAATTTCACGTGCCGATATGTGAAACCTGAATTTGAAAACATGGATGGGGAACATCCCTCCAAATTTCAACCTTGTAGTTTTTCGGCTCCCAAGCTAGCGAATTCCACATCATAATTCTCACATGGCCTTACGTAACACCATTCCAAATTTGGGAGCTAAATTTAAGTTTGTGAGATACCTGTAGCGGCAGAAAATACCGTCTTGGAATTCCAACTTTCTAACTTTCATGGTTCCCGGAATAATTTTCTGCCAAAATTTTCATGGGGCCATACGCGACACCCAAGCGCACGGGAAAACTGAATTTAAATTTTTTGGGTAGTACGTGTTCAAGGGGTATACCCATAAAATTTCAGCTCCCTGGCCTCCGCGGTTCCTGAGATAATGGTTTTACCCGCTAAAACTTTTACGAGGCCGTGCGTGTTACCCGCAGGCACAGGAAGGTTGAGTTTAAGTTCTCTGGGTCGCACATTGGCAAAGGACATACCCGTAAAATTTCAGTTTCTCAGCTTCCTTGGTCCCCGAGATAATGAGTCTACCCGAAAAAGTTTTGCGGGCCGTACGTGTTACCCGCGGGTACGGGAAGGCTGAATTTAAATTTGCCGCGTCACCCGTTGGCGGGAAACACTACAGTAAAATTTCAGCCGCCCAGCTTTAGTGGTTCCCGAATTGAAAGTGCGGGACAAAATGTGGGACACATACACACACTCACGCACACACACACACACACACACATACACACACAACACCGTAACAATATGCGTTTTGTACTGCTGTTACACAGTACAAAAGGCATAAAAACTAATAAGACGAGGAACATCTCGTTGTCTCGAACGCTGGCATCCTTAATAGACCGGCGATGAGGTGGTAATTTACTGAATAGGCTGGTCGTGAAATATGATAGTTTTGCTGTACAGGTGAGTTCTTGCGTGATTTTTGCTTTTTGATGATAACGGCTTTTTTTTAAGATTCGGTGAGGAGTTCTACAACACGCTGACGACACGTCCATTTGTGCATTCAATTTGTTACTCGATCTCGCCTGTTCAGCCAGCCGCTTTCTGGGCCTGTGCTTTTGCGGCATCCAAAATTGCCGAACTTGGTGATACCATTTTTCTGGTGATGCGAAAAAAACCACTGGCTTTCCTGCATTGGTATCACCATGCTGTTGTCCTGATCTATAGCTGGAATGCAGGTTAGTTTCGGGTTTTTATGCGTTTTGTGTTGTGCAACAGCTGCACAAAACATTGTCACGGGATTGTCTGTGTGTGTTTGTGTGTATGAGTGTGTTTGTGTGTGTGCATGTGTGTTTGTGTGTGTGTTTGTGTGCATATGTGTGTGTTTGTATGTATGTTTATGTGTGTTTGTGTTGTGTGTGTATTTGTGTGCACACATGTGTGTTTGTGTGTGTGTGTGTGTGTCTGTGCGTGTATGTGTGTTTCCGCGGCTACTTGTTTCCACTGCATTCAGAAAGAATTCTGTCTTTGCATTTTTTGGTAAAATTTCCGGGTTGGCATATTGCCTTCCGGATTCCCATCTTCTCTTGCTCCTTAGTGAATTTTTTTATTCGCACACT